GGGGCGGGCGGGGGTGGGGGCGGCGCCAGCCCCAGGGGGGAGGGAAGTCTAGACACCGCCCCCTCCCCAGCTGCGACGCCGGGTCCTTCCTCCAGCTTTCCTACTTCCTCCTGCCGCCCCTGCCCTAGGCAGGACTTGGCCCTAACGGGGCTCCGGGCCTGTCCCTTACGACAGGGCTGGTGCCTGGAGGAGCAGGGAGCTCAGGGTGGCACTGGCTGCAAGGGCCCCGGACAGCTGGCAGGCCGCCTTTCCACCCCTGTCCTGTCTGCCTTCCTCTCCCCAGCTCTTTCTTGCTCTTACAAACCGGAAGGGCTTCTTCCTAGTCTGATCCTGCCTGTGTCCTGGGCGAGCCAGGGCCTGGCCAGCGGGGGGTAGGGGTGGACTTTCTGTTGACTCCCCTGAATATTCTCCCGCTATTCCTGGGGATTGAACGAGGGCCTTCGCGCTGAGCTACATCTTCAGCCCCCCCTTTTTTTTTTATTTTTCGAGAGAGAGTCTCACTAAGTTGCCTAGGCTGAGCTCGAAATCGCAATCGTACTGCCTCAGCCTCCCAGAGTGCTGGAATTAGTTATGTGCCACCACCCATGCTTGGGCATTCTTTTTAAAAAGCTAGACTGGTGAGCAGGACTCCTGGTCTCTCTTTAGCGGGATGGGGCACCAGCCTGCCCACCAGGCCTCCAAGGTGACGGTGCTCCGGGCTGTCACCAGGCTGGGTCTGAGAGTCCTAGAGGTTGGAAGGAAGGTGCTTAACCACTCTTCTGTGGCAGGTGCACTGCACTGGCTTCTGTCAGGGAAAAAGAATTTTCAGGACACATTAGGAAGAAGCGTGAGATAGGTCTGTCAGGCAGAGATTTTAGGATACACTCAAGAACGGGGTGGGGGTGCTCAGAGAAACGGGGCTCATTATAGTTGGGAACTGGGAACATTAATAACTCTTTTGAAGGGGTAGAAAAGCCCAGGAAAATGAGCCCCAGGCCCCAGAAAGGTACTAGCCCATTCTACAGGTATGGGCATGTTTTGTGTTTTGTTTTGTCTTTTAGGTCATTTGAACATTTTTTTGGGTTCACCCAACCTGCCCCTTTATCTTGGGATCAGCCTCCTGTCCCTTAGGGTCTCCATGTTGGAGTTTCAGTATCCCTAAAGAATTTTTGGTATGCTGGGCTGATGCGGAAGGAGGCTAAACCTAGCTGCAGGCACTCATTAGCTTGGGTGGCTTCACTGCTTTCTGGAAACTGCCGTCTTCTTAAAAGTAGTTTTTAGTTATGGTTTCCTTGTTTGCTTTCTACCTCTCTTGTCTTTCTTCTGTCCCGCCTTCCCCCATCCCAGCCTGTCCTGGGCCGCCCAGCACCAGGGTCCAGCTCAGCGGGCCCATCCATCCGAAGCCTCCTCTCCCTGCCTCGGAGTCCGTGGTAGCAGGCCCGCCCCAGCCCAGTGCAGTGCCAAAGCGGAGGCCCTTTCCAAGGGGGCCAGGGCCGGCAGCAGCCCTGTGCAGCCCTCAGGGTCCTGGACGGACCACCCTTGTGGGGCCCCAGAGCACCCTGAGCCAGGGTTACAAGGGCAGGAAAGCTCCTCCTCTCCCCTTGCCCCTCCTGTCCTCCCCGGCCCTCTCACTGTCCCCCACTGTCCCCGTCTCACCCCGGCCCCTTGCTCCTAACTTCACGGTCACTTCTCTCCTCTCGGTTCCTAGAATTGAGAGTCCTGAGGCACAGGAAGAGTGAGTAGCTGCTGGGGCTCCGGCTGGGGCGGGGCGGGGCGGGGGCTGGGGGAGAAGGCTGGCACGCTCGCAGGGAGAACGCAGCAGAAGGGGCCAGGACTTGAGGAAAGGGCAGGCCAGGGGCCAGCAGGCCAGGGGACCTGCATGCCACCAAGGGCGCCTGCACCCTACACCTGCCCTGCCCCCGCACCCTGCCCCTGCCCCAGCCACGGACACGCGCAGCATTTTGCGCCTGGCTGACGGCTTTGCCCAAATAACGAGCCAGCCACATACTGCCCGCTTTTCCTCTCCGGCCACGCGCTGTGGCGCCCCAGCCTGGCCATCCAAAAGCTCTGGGCTGGCTTCCTTCCTTCCCCTCTGCAGACCTGACCCCTCACCCAGGGCTTCCAAACCAGCCCTCCCTCAGTCCCCATTCACCTCCGCCCGCCGCGCCGGAAAATGCAAACCCTGCCCAGGCATTTGCATGCTGTCCACCTGGCTCCGCTTCCTGGGTGCCCTCTCCCACGTCCTTTGTACGCGCCTCCTTCCCGGGTCCCTCAGAACTGAGCAGTGCTTGGCCATGAGTGTGCTCCCGCTTGCAGTCAGTGTGTCTGTCCGTCTGTCTGTGCGTGTGGGCGCAGGGAGGATCCAGCTGGGTGCTGCCACTCCAGGGTCCTGAGTCTGTGTGACTGTAGGCGCCCCAGTTGGCTCGGTCCAAGGGTCACAGGGCGGTGCTGATGCAGGGAGAGGGCCAGAGGGAGACTCCACCCTGCAGGGGCAGAGCCAGGGCTGGGGACGAAGGTCAAGTGGCTGGCCCCAGGTAGTGTTTTGGAGCTGGGCAGTGAGTGGCTGGGCAGATACATATGCTGGCGTTCCCAGGGCCAGCCCAAGAGCCACCATGAACTCCCAGAGGCCTCCAGGCAGGGGCTCGACACGCTGTGAGTAGGGTCATGAGGGTGGTGGGCCTCTGTGGGCTGGGAGCCGAGGGTTCACCTCTGGGTGCCCTGACAGCTGCCCACGGTACCCAGGATCTGGAGAGCTGCCTCTGGGCCCAGGGAAGGGCCCCGCCCATCCTGACTTGGGAAGGGAGTTTCAGAGGGGCAGCAGGGGTGCTGGGTACTGCGTCCTGCCCCCAACCAGTGCCCCTTCTCCATGGCAGGCACCAAATCTTTCAACATGATGTCCCCGACGGGTGACAACTCGGAGCTACTGGCCGAGATCAAGGCGGGCAAGAGCCTGAAGCCAACACCACAGAGCAAGGGGCTGACCACAGTGTTCTCGGGCAGCGGGCAGCCGGCCTCCCAGGTAGGAGGCAGGCAGGTGCCCCGCCCCGGCTCCCCGTGCCTGCCCGGTGCTCAGCGCTGCTGCTTCTCCCTGCAGCCCGACTCACCGCTGCCACCAGTGTCGCCCGTGCCATCTCGGGCCCGGAGCCCCACCCCACCGGCTGCAGCCCCTCAGCCCCTGCTCAATGGCACCGTGGTGCCAGCACCTCCCGCCACCCCTGCACCAGGCGTGCAGCTGGACGTGGAGGCACTCATCCCCACGCACGACGAGCATGGCCGGCCCATCCCCGAGTGGAAGCGGCAGGTGATGGTGCGCAAGCTGCAGCTGAAGATGCAGGAGGAGGAGGAGCAGAGGCGGAAGGTGGGTGGGCGGGGTTGCCCAGAAAGCCCGGCCAACTGCAGGGCCCCTCTGGCTCTTTCCCCATGCCACCCCTTGGCCTGCTATGGCCCCGCGACCTCTGGCAGCACTGACTGCCTCTGAAGAAAACTGGGATGGCAGGACTACCCCCCAGGACTGGTCCCAGTCTCCCCAACCCCAGCAGTTTACCCTTTGAAATGGTGTGGCAGCGTGCCTTCACCTTGTCTGGGACCTTCCTGAAATGCTTCAGCAGGTCTCAGGGATGGAGATTCTGCATTTGTAATAAGCTCTTGGGTTGGGCTGATGATGCTTTGGCCGAGGGACCACTCTGAGTCATCCAGAGGACTTTGGTCTCAGGCAGACTCTGTCCCTGCACTGCCACTGTCCAGATGCTGATACTACTGAGCCTTGTGCAGCCTCAGTCTCTACATCTGTAAGATGGGCTGTTTATCAGTAGCTGATGGGTCCCATTCTTTTGTTCAGCCCGTGTTCCCTGAGTGCCATCTTTGTGCTCCACAAGCTGCTGTAGCCTCTAGGGGTTCATGGTGAACATACCGAAGCTGCCTTTCTAGCTGGCTGCCTCCGTCTGTGTGGATAAGGAAATGAGTGTCCCCAAGGAGATGACACAGGATGGTGTGAGAGAGTGACACCTGGGGAAACAGCTGGGCTCTATAACTTGTCCAGTGTGTGACTGAGTGCAGGGGCTGGGTGGCCCTACAATGACCACCCTTTGGGCTGGGGGTGGCAGTACCTCAGGCAAGACTTGGAATGTGAGCAAGAAGTGGCCTGGGGAGGTGTGGGGGAGGGAGCAGGTGGGGAGGTCTGGAAGTCACAGTGGGTCTGGCGCTGGGGCGGGACTGTGGGAGCTGAGCTCCCCGCCCAGGCCCCTGGAAGAGAACCTCCTTTTTCTGGGGCAGCAGGCAACCTAGGGGTGCTTGTGTGGGGAAATAGCCAGTCGTATTTGTACATGGTGATCCGATGGTGGGGCTCACCACGAATTGGAAGGCGTGTATGGAGGTGAGGGCGGCCCCAGAAGGGAAAAGCTGGCACCAGTGAGGTGGCCTAGAAGTGGAAAGAGAAAAATGAAGATAAAGAGAAGAGTCTTCTGGGTGCAGTGGTACACACCTGCGATCCCAGCACTCTGGGAGGCTGAGGCAAAAGGATTGCCAAGTTCAGACCCCGCCTGGGGGACTTAGGCCCTGTATCAGAAAGGGTGGTGTGTGTGAGCCCCGTTCAGAGGCATCGGGGAGTCACCCTGCAAGCTGCTGCTTTTGTCTCTGTAAGAGCCGGATGGCCTTTCATTCAGCACATGAGACACTGATCACGGGTACGGAGGGCTTGGGCCACGGCAGAGCCTGGGGAGGGTCAGCAGCTTGGCGTGAGAGGTCCTGCAGGGATTCGGACTGGAATTAGCAGCCCTTGGAGAGGTAAGGGGCTCCGAGCTGCTCAGAGACCACACCTTTCGCATGTTCCTTGGGTGGTGTAATGAGCGGCCAAGCCAGCATGGAGCGCCCTTCTGCCGGCTTACCTCTCCGCCCTGCAGCGGCGCCCGGAGACCAGCCGTGCCCCGCCAGCGGACCAAGTGGACACTGCCCAGAGTCTAAAGCCGAAGCCTTGAAGAGTGTCACTGCCGCCGGCCAGGCGTGGCCCCGCGGAACCATTACACCACCCGGGACATGCAAAAGGTTTCCCCGGCGCCGCCGCGGGAGCTGGGCCAGAGGGAGACGCGCCTCCCTCCCCTCTCTTGTCTTCCCCGCATAGCTGACGTCTTCCAGCTCGTGCTGCTACCCCCCGGAGGGCTGGAGGTATGTTCGGGAGCGCGACGCCATCCTCGGGCCCTTCGGCGAGCTCATGACCGAGGCCGACATCCTCCGCATCGAGCAGCAAATAGAGAACCTGCAGGTGCTGCACAAGGCGCAGAAGCTGGAGGCGCGCCTGGAGCAGCTGGAGCTGGAGCTGGAGCAGCTGCTGCCCGTCTCAGCAGCACTCTCGGCGCCGCGGTTCACTGTCGACCCGCGTCGCATGCAGGGCCGTGCCACCAGCCTGCCCGCCTGGTGCAGTAAGATCTCCACGCTGCTCAAGAGCATGGCCTCGCTGCTGGCGGCCCTGGGCGGCCGGCCCGCACACCTCGCCGAGCTGCTGTCCGCCGACACGGGCCAGCCGCTGGCGCCCCTCCCCGACGCGCCCTCCAGGCCCGGGCCCCTCTGCCTGGGCCGCTCGCACTCGCTTAGCTGGTGCCGCGAGGCTGTGGCCCGTGAGATCCTCGAGTGCGGCGTATCCGTGCGGCACCTCCGCGCCACCTATGAGCTACGCGCCCAGGGCGCAGCGCCCGCGCGCACATCTCGCCACAAGCCCCAGTCGCTGGCCAGCGGCACAGACCGCGAGCCCGTCCTTGAAGAGGACTACGTGGTGGCCAGCTCCAGCGAGCCCAGTGCCGCCGTCTCCAACGGCTTGCTGGCCACCGAGGAGCCCCTGGGGACCCTGGACGCGCCCGAAGAGGCGCAAGACAACCAGGAGACTTTGCCTGAGTCTGACCAGCTGGTGTGCAGGCCGCCGCTGTCCACTGAGCTGCCCGGCGTGCAGGACTACATCGACATGCGCAAGGAGCGCATCGTCTACCTCTTTCTGGAGCACTGGCGCAAGTGGACCTTCCGGGGCCCTGGGCGCCACGCCCAGGCGCGCTTGCGCAGATTGCTGCCCCGAGTGGTGGCCGCTGGCGCGGACCCCAGCCCTGAGGCTGGTGACTTTGCTCCCCAGCAGCCAGCGGATGACACTGAGGCCTGCAAGCCCGACCAGCAGCTGCTGCACCTGCTGAAGCAGCGGCAGGTGGTGGGCAAGCTGCTGGGCCACTGGCGGAGCCTGCTTCGGCAGGTGCCTGCGCGCCAATCCAGGGGTGTGCGCCTGGCGCACGGCCTGTACTGGCCCGAGCACTTCCTGCCGCCCCTGGACGGCGGCACGCCCCGGCGCTACGACAGCCTCACGCTCGACCTCTTCATGCTTGGCTACTTCCAGCTGCTGGAGATGGGTCTGAGCCGGGAGGAGCGAAAATTCCGCCACCTGCTGTGCTACGAGATGTTTGACCGGCTGGGCAGCCATCCGTGGGAGCTCATCCGCCTCTTCCACCGGGTGGTGATGGAGGAGGTGGAGGCCGGGCGGCGAGGCTGGAGCGACGGCTTCGAGGATCTCAGGCGCCAGTTCTTCGGAGACAGCCCAGAGGCTGAGCCCGCCCAGGAAGAGGCCAGGAAGGAAGAAGAGCAGGAGGAAGACAAGGAAGAGGGGAAGGAAGAGGAGGAGACGCAGGGGGAGCAGAAGGAAAGCGGGGAGAAGGGGCCCAGTGAAGAGGCTGCTCCAGCACACCCGGAGGACCCGCGCAAGGGGCAGCCCCAGCCCCCTGGCCCTGCGCCACAGCCCCCGCCTGCCGCGCCGCCCCCGACCTCCATCCCGGGCCCGCCTCCTTCCGAAGGCCCTGCGGAGGACCCCTTGGAGCTGGTGTCTGAGATGGGCGAGTTCAGCAATGAAGACATCTGCCGCTACATTGACCGCAGCTTCTCCTTTTGGAAGGAGAAAGAGGCAGAGCTGTTTGACAGCTGAGCCCGTGAATCCGGCGTTTACCCCCAGCATCGTAATCCAGGCCCGGGCACCTGTCCGAGGCCCTGCAGAGGCCAGAAGTGGGCAGGAAGAGCCCGACATGTGAAAAGCCGCGCGCACGGGTCCCCTGGAGGGAGGATGGGGCACTGGCCCAGCTAGGGGGCCAGGGCACACGGCCTGGCTGGGCTGTGTGTGGGGTCAGGTGGCAGTGCTGAGCAGCCCCTTCGAGTGGGGCACAGCGGGCCCCCTTGCGGTGGTGTGTGCTGTCCCTGTCTCTGGTCTTTCACTGGAACCCACGGCTACCTCCTTGGCCACCCGTTCAGTGTTCGGTGCGCATGTGTGATATGTACAGACCCTTTCTCCTCTGTAACATCCAAGGAATAAAACGCTTTGCTGGCAGCTGCCTGTGTTGGACCCCCTGCCGTGATGTCACTGCAGTCCCACAGCGGTGACTGACCTCCAGTCTTTTGGGAAGAGGGCAAGCAGGGGCCGGGTCTTTCCCAGGAGACCAGGGATAGCCGGAGCCTCCCAGGGCCGGCCAGGTGCATGGGATCTCAAGTCTGCATCTGCTCAGAGATCCTGGGGGACAGACAGTGCTGGGGCCGTGTGTGCCCCTGCCCCTGCGCGGCCCAGCTGCTCACTCTGTCCCCCTTATGCAGCCTGCGCTCATCTTGGGTCTCTCTGGTGCCACCTCCAGGACACAGGCCGGGGCTCTGGGTGCAGCAGGCTCCCTCCACCCGTACCACAGAAAGGCACCGAAAGGGTCTCTTCCGGCAGCCCTCCACGTGTCCCTGGGTTGGGAGTTTAGTTTCCCAGCCATTGGGGTCCTGAAGTTTTTGTTTTCGTTTGTTCGGTGCTTTTTTTTTTTTTTTTTTTGTCTTTTTGAGACAGGGTCTCGCTACGCAGTTCAGGCTGGCCTTGAGCTCGCTTTGTAGCCCAGGCTGGTCTTGAACTGGCAACGATCCTCCTGCCTCAGCCTCCCGAGTGCTGGGATTACAGGCGTGCGCCACCACGCCCGGCTTTGGGGTCCTGAAGTTCTGTGGTTGTGTTTCAGGAGGAGGAGGAGGAGGCTTGGTTGGCCAGCCTGCCTGCCTGGAGGCGGGATCTCCTTCGGAAGAAGCTGGAAGAAGAGAGGTGAGCCGGGGCTCTGGAGAGAGCAGTCCCTTCCCGGAAGGGTGTACTGCTGTGTCTCTAAAGTGATGGCACCAACTAATGCTGTCTGTTTCTCCTTCCAGGGAGCACAAGCGGTGAGTGCAGGGATGGCCCAGCCCTGCTGCCCCTCCCCCGCCCAGCCACCGCCTTGTCCTTTGGCCCCTTCATCCAGCCCTGTCCTGGGCACATCCCATCATTCAGCCCTTGTAGCATGACCTCTGTGCTCCTGGTAATACGACCGGCTGCCTCTGCCCCAGTAATTTAGCACCTGTCCCCCAGGTCAAGCCCTCCTGCTCTGACAACCTTGATCCCGAATTACTCAGCCCATCTCCATTAGCCTAGCCTTTCTACTCTAGGGTTCCTCCAACCCCAGGACCAATGCCTTCCGCCACCCATCCTCCAGACCAGTTTCCTACCTGCTAATCTAGCCCAGTGCCGTCCAACAGAAGTACAGGATAAATCACATATGTAACTTTAAATTTTCTTAGAGAAAATTTGAGACAGTCTATAGTGAACTTCATGTTTTATTTAACCCAATATATCAATCCACATATAATCAATATCTTTTTTTTTTGGTCTTTTTGAGACAGGGTCTCGCTATGCAGTTCAGGCTGGCCTTGAACTCACTTTGTAGCCCAGGCTGGCCTCGAACTCCTAACGATCCTCCTGCCTCAGCCTCCTGAGTGCTAGGATTACAGGCGTGTGCCACCACGCCCGGCAATATCAAAATTATTTATGAGATGGATTTTGCTTTTGTAAAATGAGGTCCCACTGTTGCTTGCCCAGGCCAGCCTTGAACTTATAGTCCTACCTCAGCCTCCCAAGGAGCTGGGATTACTGGCACATGCATTATACAGTTTCTTTTTTAAAAAAAAATTTTTTTCTAAGTCCTGTGCATTTTACACCTACAATATATTCCAGCTTGGACCAGCCATGTTTTATTTTTTTTGTTTTGTTTTTTTTTTTTTCCGGTACCAGGAATCGAACTCACGACCTTGCTTTTGCCAGGCAGGCGCTGTGCCGCTGAGCTAAATCCCCAGCCCATGGACCAGCCACGTTTTAAATGCACCATGGCCTCCTTATGCTTAGTGACCACTCTGTGGGCGTGCCTGAATACCCTTGTGTTTTGTTTTGTTTGTGCTGCTGGGGATGGAACCCAGGGTCTCAGACATGGTGGGCAAGTGCTCCACCACAGAGCAACATCCCCAGCTCCTACCCTAGTGGTCTAACATTTCATTCCTTTTTTGTGTGTGTGTGGGTACCGGGAATTGAACTCAAGACCTTGCACTTGCCAGGCAGATGCTCCACCCCTGAGCTGTATCTCCGGCCCAAACAATCCATTCCTGATTCCCCAGCCTATCTCCCAGTAATGAGGTCCCCGGTGGCCCAGCCCATTCCTCTGTAATTCTGACTGACAACTCCCCAACAGCTCCTGTCTTAGTCCCAGTACTCTGACTGAGTCTTGTAACACCCCTTACACAGATCCGTGGGTGACCCAGCCCCTCTGCTTCCATTAAACCCCCCCCCCCCGCCCCTAATACCCAATCCCAGTCTCCCACTCAGCCCTCTGGGCCCCTGTAACCCAGATTTGCCCCAGGCAAGCCCCTATCTCCTTGGTAACCGCTCAGCCCACTGCCACCTGTGGCCTGGCCCCGGCTTCACTGAGTTCTGCCCGAACCCCATCTGCAGAAAAGAGGAGGAGCGACAAAAGCAGGAGGAGATGCAGCGGGAGAAAGAGCAGTCGGAGAAGCTGCGGACACTGGGCTACGACGAGAGCAAGCTGGCACCCTGGCAGCGACAGGTCATCCTGAAGAAGGGGGACATCCCCAAGTAAGGGACGTCGCGCCTCCCAACAGCAGCGTCACCAGTTCGGAGAGGTGTGGTGCGGGATGTCCCCAGCCCTTGCTCCTGCCTGCCGGGCCGGTGTGGAAGGGTTGGGAGCCGTGCCACCCGCTCCCTCCAAGCCTGGACCCTCCCTGACCCCTGCCCTCCCTGGCCCGCATCCCCAGCCCCGGCCCACGCTAGAGCACAGCGCCGCCTAAGCCTCCGCCGGCCCTCGGAAAAAGTGCCCAAGCCGCTGACGCAAAAAGATGCTGCTCATTTGCATGCCGACTCACATCCTTTTGCCTGGTCGCCGAGGGCAGGGAGCGCAGAGCAGGCCCCGCCCCCACTGTGGGTGGTGACTTTGTTTTCCTGCGGGGCGTGCAAGGCTGCAGCCCCCTCCCCCGCACCCCGGAACCTGAGTCGCCGGCACATCCTGGGTGGAGGCGGCCCCGAGCTCGGGGAAGGGGTTTTCCTCCCTCCCCGACCCAAATCCGTGCCCGATCTGTGATCTGTCCGGGGCCCCATTTCTCATCCTCCCCGAGCGTTTCCTTGCAGTCATGTGTTTACCGGAAACGATGCAACCTGCCCGTCTGGGCGGGGTCGCTGATCCTGGGGTCCCACCAGCTTCCCCACAGCCCACACCGGTCCCTGGCGCCCCGACCTTCTCACTGCCCCGGAGGAGTGGAGGGCGAGGGCCCCGCACTGTGGCTCCAACCCCCCCATTAAAGCGCTCCCCACCGCCTGGGGCTCGCGTCACTCTGTCCTTGCCACCACCACCGCGACTTTGACTTTCTCTCCTTCTCGGGGTCACTGGACCACGCAGATACGGAAGGGAAGGGCGGGCCCTGGAGCGCTGGGCCGCACCGTGGCCCCAAACCGGGGTGCTCAGGCCTCGGGAAATGAAGCCCGGGCCCTTTGCGCCGCAAGCCACCAGCACCACCAAAACGCCTCTTGCCTTCATGAATTTAATTCCAAGGTCTCAACCCAACTCGGGCCAAGAGGAGGGCTGGGCGATCTCGCGCCCCTCCCGCACTCGCCCCCTCCCCGCCCCGCCTGTGCGAAACAACGGGGCCGCGGGGCGCGGCAGGCCGAGGCCGGCGGGCGCTGCTACGCAGGGCCCTGCCGGGGAACTCAGTAAGTGACATAAAATGTCTACATGCATAAGTAACCGTACTTAAGGCTTCTGCCAGGGTCACCCGAGCGCCAAAGCCGCAGGAGACCCCCGCGTCAAGGACCGCGCTGCAGGCGGAGGCGCAGGTCCTCGGCGCAGCCGTCCAGCCCCATGCGCTCCAGGGCTGCATAGACGGCGCCCAGCCCCGCGGGCTGCTGCTGGCGCCAGCGCTTGAGCATCTCATACTGCTGGTCACGGAAGCGGCCGATCTCCACCTCCACTGCCTCGATCTCCGCCTCGCGCAGCCCCAGCGTGCGCACGAACTCCTTCCAGCGCCGCGCAGGGACCGCGTCCATCACGTCGTACAGTTGCGGTCCGGGCTGGAGCACGGCGGCGGGAGAGCCTGCAGGGGGCGCTGGCGACAGCGGAGGTGCCGGAGGAGACCCTGCGGGAAGGCCAGAGAGGGCCACTGGGGAAGCGGGCGGCGGCCAAGGTGCAGGGCCGAGGTGGGCATCCCTGGGGCACAGGGCGGGGCACCCGCATAGTACAGCCCTTGAGTTGAGGGTGGGAAGTGGTCAGGCTGAGGTCAAGCCATAGGCCACCGAAGTCCCTTACCAAGAGCTTGGCTGGGCAGCTGGTCCCAGGACTGTGGCACGTGCTGACAGGGCACCTCCGGGGCCTGGGGGGAGCCAGGGGTCCAGCCGCTGCCTACTAACTGGGCAGTGCAGACCTTCCCATTGTTGCCAGGGGGTGCAAGGAGGGCATGGGTGCTGTCCAGGGGCGACAGGTGGGAACTCTGGAAGCCAAGAGAGACCCCAGGTCAGCCGTGTGGGGCAAGTGAGGTCAGGAGCGGAGATTCCCTGGGTCAGGCAGTGGACAGCCCCTCAGCCACTTCCCCCAACAGGCCCTGCTCTCTCATCCACCCCCCAGCTTCTGTGGTTTTGAGGACTGAATTCAGGCCCTTTGCCCTGAGCTACATCCCCAGCTTTTTTTTTTTTTTTTTGGTCTTTTTGAGACAGGGTTTCACTGTGCAGTTCAGGCTGGCTTTGAGGTCACTTTATAGCCCAGGGCTGGCCTCAGACTCACAGCAATCTTCCTGCCTCAGTCTCTCAAGTGCTGGGATTACAGATGTAAGCTGCCAGCTCCCCAACCCTTTTTATTTTTTATTTCTTGAGACAGGGTCTCGCTAAGTGGCTAAACTGCCCAGGCTAGGCTCAAGCTTGTGGTTCTCCTGTCCCAGCCTCCCAGGGGCGTGCACCACCATGCTGCCCTCTTCTTGTCCCCAAACCAGGGGCACTCATCCCTCCAAGCATTAGCTCCTGGTACTTGTCTGGACCCCAGCAGAGAGCGCCACTCTAGGGCAGGTGCAGCGCCCGTCTCACCTGCTGATAACTCACCCTGCCCAGTAGGTCTAACTGAGCCAGCCACGGTGCCACGCACTGGGATCACAAGTTACTCTCCCAAATACGCAAAGTAGGCTTCTTTAAAGCACATACTGAGATTCTTACCTGAGGTGGGGTCAGGGCCTCTGTGCCAGCTTTGTCTACTGACGGAGACAAAAAGGATTTGGTCAGCAACAAGGCATGGTCCAGCACCTCTTGCATCCCTGCATCCCACCCTCCCAGCCTCCGTTTCCCATTCTGGACTGCCCATCCTGACCCTGAGACTGTGTGTGTTGTATGTGAGGACTTACCGGGAACTACCAGCTTGTGAGACTGGCAGCGCCAATACAAGTAGACGAAGGTGACCCCAAGTAGGAACGGGACCAGCAGGCCAGCCACAAGCACCTGGACCCAGAACACTGAAAGAGGAGCCAGTGGGTGCTGGGTAGTAGCCAACCCCAGCCCTCCTGCCGGGAGCCCCAGTGGCTACCTACTGGGCCTCCAGCCGCACACGGCAGCACAGGGCTCGGGACAGCTTCCCAGGATGCTCCTGTGCAGAGGTGGGTGATGAGTCAGGGTGAACTCCAGGAAGGGCTGCCCAGGACGCCTGACGACATCCCCTCCCCAGCCCACTGCCCTGTGTGCCTCTCTCTGCCCGAGAATGTTCCGAAGTACTGCCGAAATGTCACTTGGGCCCCCAACAACTGTAACAACCAGCAACCACCACTTGTTAAGCCCTAGATGCAGGGTCCCTGGAACGTCAGCTCCACAGGGCAGGGATTTTTCCCTCCTTGGTTCCTTATGTAACCCCAGCACTTAAAATAGTGTGGGAAATGGCAGATGCTCAGTCAGAAGCTGGATGGGTAAATGGGCAAGGTGCATTTCCTTTTATCACACCCCTGAAAAGAACCTCCTAGCACCTCCATGTCCAGATGGAGAACCCCAGATCAGAGAGGTTATTTCTCTAAACTTGTCCAAGAACTAACAGCAAGCTCTGAATCTCAGCCCAAGTTCTGAAGTCTCTATCAGTGTGACAATGTAAGTGACAAATCCGGGCTGGAGATATACCTCAGCAGCACCGCACCTGCCTGGCAAGCACAAGGTCATGAGTTTGACTCTGGGTACCAGAAACAAAAAGTGACAAATCATCCTTCGTATTCATCTAAAAGATTACTAAAGGGAAGTTTGAGCCTAGTATACCTATAATCCCAGCACTCAGGAGGCTGAGGCAGGAGGATCACTGTGAGTTCGAAGGCAGCCTGGGCTATTTCCCACACTAGTGAGACCCTGTCTCAAAGAAAAAAAGGAAACTCTGGCAGACAATACAGATACTGTGCACTGTCTTATTTATCTGACATAAGGGGATCCAGAGTTCCCTTTCCCACCCTAGTCTTGCCTAAAGTGGGGTCTACAAACCCAGGATGAAGCTCCCGTCTCCCTCGCCCCTCCTTGAGCTCCTACACCCGCAACACTGCCCCCCAAAGCCCCCATTCTGCTCCCCCCTTCACTGTGGCCCAGGGCACCCAGGAAGTTACGTGGGGCAGGACATGCAGCCATCGCTGTGCTCATAGAAGCCAGGCAGGCAGGGCCCACAGCTGTTGTCTCTGCCGGAACCTGCAGTCCAAGAGATGGTGGTGTGGGTCAGGACGGGAAGGGTGTGCGGGAGCAGGGGGCGGGTGGGGGTACTCACAGGGCACAGGTGTGTGGCGGTCAGGGGACTTGCAGTCTGGGCACTGGAGACATCGGAACGGTGAATTCGCCATACACGGTTTGACCGAGCAGTCGACAAGCCAGCCGGGTGCGCAGCCACAGCGGGTGTCTGCCACCGCAGAGCAGTTCTCCAAGGCCACCTGGAAGGCTGGCAGGACGCAGGGGAGTGGTCAGTGCCAGAGATGCCCGTAGAGAGTAGGGGTCGGTGCCCCAGAGGACGGAGGGAGGGACAGGCCAGAGAGAAGACAGGACTGCCCTGAAAGGGAGAGAGGCTGGCAAAGCACGGCCGGCCAAAAGCCAAGCAGGTGAGGACCAGAAGTCAGCAGGAAGACAGCGGGCAAAGGGCACCCTGAGGCAGAAGCAGGGGTGGCACAGGCCCGCACACCTGGAGGCCGGTCCCAGGCTGCTGGCCACGTCTTTCATAAAGGCCCTCACCACAGCCTGTCCCCCCACGAGCATCGGGCAGCCCCTCACCCTCCTCGTCACAGGCCTGGCATCGGGTGCAGTGGGCATTATAATGGTTCTCCCTGGCCAAGAAGGTGCCCCGGGGACACGGAAGGCAGGTGGAGTCGCCACAGTGCTCCGTGCAGCGGGCCTTCAGGTAGTGCCCTGTGGAACCCGGACAGGGGTTGGACAGTCAGGGGGGCGCGGGGCACCTCCCAACTGGCCTCCTGCCGTCCTTCCCTCCCTTTCCATCTCTGGCTCCCCAGTTCCCTCCCAACCCACCCCTCCCTCCCAGCCCCTCCTCCCTCACCCCACCCAGTCTGCCTCCCGGTCCCCCCCACCCCCACGGCCACTTACCCATTGGGCAGCCCCTGCAACAAAACGGGCCATACCTCCTCTGGATGTCACTGGTACAGTCACACCTGGAGCCAGGAGTGCTGCCCTGAACCCGGACTCCCGGCAGCAGCAGCAGCAGCACCTGAGAGACAGGTCTGCTGACCCTGGGTGCGTCTGCCCTTGGGGGCGTCCACCTCTCCGACTCCTGGGCAGAAGGGGTGCCCACGGGTGGAGGTGGGTCCGGCTTCCTCCTTCCAGTGCACAGCCCAGGAGGGGCCCCCGCGAACCCTCACGCTTCCCCTCCAGGAGGCAGGAACCTCCTCCCCTCCTCCCAGCTTTCTGTGAGATGGGACCCCAGAGCCCCCTGGCCCCAGGAAAGGTGTTTCCTCTCAGCGGAAGAGCCCCACCCCGTCCCGGCTTCTAAGTAGGTCATGGGGACGGGGAGAACCCCAGCAAGGCCGAGCCCCTTCCCTCGGAGCCCTCCACCCTAGCCCGAAGCAGACTGTCCCCGCCACCGGCGGCCCCACTCACCGCAGCCCCCGCTGCCACGCAGCCCCTTGGCCGCGGCTCCATGGCCGCGTGCAGCACGCCGGGCCCTCGACGGGCCACTGGCGACAGGCATGCGCACCCGCGGGTTGCCCCGCCCCACGCCCCGCCCCCCAGCCCGCAGCAGGGGGCGGGACAGAGCCAGGCTACTGTTCTCAGGACGCCCAGCAAGTGGGACTAGTGCCCCTGCCCAGCTACGGACACCCCCAGCCGACCCTGCACCCACGTGGCACCAGCCACACGTCCCCAGCCCTGGGTGTGGATCTAACCCTGAGAACCAGCGCTCGGGGGCAAAGCCAGGGCCAGAGACTTCTGAGACTCTGTCCCCAGGCACCAGGGAGCAGGGTGGGCAGAAAGTACCCAAAAGTCCCCAAGTGTGGGTCCAGGGAGGACTCAGTCTTGAGCCCTAGGGAGAGCCCTCCGCAGAGCCTGGGATGGCCACCTGCCAGGACGCAGGCTCACAGGTGAGCTCCCTGAAGCATCTCATGAGGGCTCTACTTAGGGGGCCTCTGGCTCTGGCAGGAAGAGGCTTGCTCTTGGGACACTGGTCCGGTGCCGCCCCCACCGCATTACTGCACCTTTGCTTCCCAGGGTCTCCCGCTGGGAGGCTGCAGGGGCACAGACCAGAGCCACAGGGTCAGGAAAGGGGTAGCCTGAAAGACAGGACTCTCCAGGGGAATATATACAAGTCTTTATCAAAGAACCATCGCTCAATAAATATGCAGCTTTACACAGAGCCAACCCGAGCCTGGGCTGGCCAGCAGGACTTGGGGGACCGGTGCTGGGGCCAGGGGCTGGTTCCCTTTGAGGCCAGATGAGGGTGGCAGTGGGACCAGCATCCTGGCAGCCCAGCCCAGAGCGTCAGAGCTGGTAACCTCAGGAGCAGGGGGCAAAGGCCCCTCTGGGCAGACAGGCTGCTCTGTAGCCTGAGCCAATGGCTCTGTTGAGCCATCCTCCACTCCATCCAGTCCGGCAAGTGCAAATCAGCCAGGGCGGCGGGCAGGGGTCCTGCCCAGCACTCCGGCTCAGGCCACAGGAGCAGCAGCTGAAGCAGGTACCACGCTCCCAGGAGGACGTGTCCGTTGTCCCTTGGTCAGTGGCACCCTTGAGGGTTGTCTCTTTGCTCAGACCTCCCTACAAAGTGTGGAGGGAGAGAGAGACATGCTTCCTTGGGGGACATCATGGAGAAGTCCTCCCTGTCCTGACCTCAGGCCCCTCTGCTGCCACCCACCATAGATACCTGTGTCTGGGGCAGGCCTAAGGCCCCCTCACCCATGCCATCCCCAAATGCTGACACATCCACTCACGATCATGCTCCTATGCACTACCACAGCACCCCCAGCCATCTGCCCGGACCCCAGCTGGGCCACTCACGAGGCAGTAAGCGTGGAGTTGAGCAGCAGGGTGGTCCTGATTCGGTAGAGCTGGGCCAGGGTCAGCTTCCTGTGCTGGGCTGAGAGCCCTGCGGGGGGCCCAGGCTGGGCCTGGTGAGAAGCTCCTGAGGGTAACTCCCTGCACCTCTTCCTGGAGGGGCCTATAGGCTCCCCAGCCTGGCAGCTGGCTCTGCCCTCCAGCTCTGATGGCTCAGGGCCACCGCCCAGGCTAGGCGTCCCGCGACAGTTCCAGCCAGCCCTCACTTCCCGAGAGGAGCCCTGAGTCCTAGTGCCAGAGGGAGCAGCAGACAGGCAGAGCTCAGACAGGCTTCGGCTGGGAGCTGGGGGTACTGCACGGGGGGCGGCCCCAGACAGCAGCTGGAGGAGGCTGGCTTCAGATTTGGACTTGAGTAGGTGGGGCAAGCCAGGTAGAAGCTGGACTGGTGTGCGGCGGCGGAGGCGGGGTGAGGGTGGGGGTGAAGGGGCTCTTGATGGTTCTAGGGGCTGGGGCGTCGGCTCTGCCACTGGAGCTGGGGCTACAAAGTCCTGCAGGGAGGTGGGGGATAGAGTGCCGTAGGCCGAGTCCATGGAGCAGGAGCGGCCGTCCACTGGGCCCAGGGGCAGCAGCTCGCTGGTGGGTGTGATGGAGGAGGCAGTGGTACCCAGAGAGGTCTCATCCGACTGGGAACTGAAGGGGCCACCATCAAACTCGGGGGAGGACAGCGTCTCCCCAGGCTCCACCACCACCACGGCCAGGGTCTCGGCAGAGCCGTCAGAAGCACTGTGGGGCCGGGAGGGGAGTCAGCCTGGAAGGCCTGCAGCAGCCCGCACTGGCAAAGCACGCAGCTTCACATCTGCACCCAGGGAGCTTGAGGCTCAGAGACCTTCGGGCTCCTGTGCCCACCTCAGACCACGATGGTGGTCAGCTCCCACTAACGGATCAGAGACGGCCCTCAAGCTGAAAGCCGTGCTCCCTGCCTGCACTCTGCCGGGAGAGGGTGCCACCCCGAGCATCCCTGCTGGGCTTGCATCATGAGGCTGTGCTGAGAAAGGGGACACGGCTGGGCCCTGCCCGGTGTCAACTCTGGAGCTTTGGAGCCAGGAGGCCTGGGCCGCAGTCCCTGCCCTACTGGGACGCGTGAGGGCCCTCGAGTAAATGTACCAGCGCCGGGAGTCCAGGCTGGGGCTGCTCTCGTGCAGGATGGTGGGGGAGCTGGCAGCTGAAGCGCTGCTCTCCTCGCCGTCCTCCTCTTCCTCCTCTTCCTCTTCCTGCTCATCTTCCTCCTCTTCCAGGCTTTGCAGCTGCTGCTGGCTGCCTGGCTGCTCCTGGGCACGCAGCTGCTGCAGCTGGTTCTGCAGGTAGGGGTCGGTGGGCACAAGGGCAGAGTGAGCTGGGATTGGGAGCCCCCCCATGCTCCCCTGTCCACCACCCACCCACAGCCCACCACGCTGTCACCTGGGCGTTGTAAATGGCGTCCACCCAACCGCGGCACAAGGCCTGGCCACTGGCCTGGAATGTGTAGGCGCCCACAGCGCTGTGGAATTCATTCAGGTGGATGAGGAGGAAGGCACCTGGTCAGGCAAGGACCATGTTAGTATCAGCCAGGTCCAGGGCCCTGCCCAGCACGCCCCTGCCCAGAAGCAGGGGGCCAAGATGCCTCACCAGGGTCCCGGAGCTCCCGGCACACGATCTTGTCCACCAGCAGCGGTGGCCTGATAACCTTGGTCCTCTCGGCCTTCTTTACGGCCTTGGTCACCAGGAGCAGATCGGTGAAGAGAAAGCAGTACACGTCCATCTGGGGTGGGGGAAAGGAGGGGCAGCGGGTCAGGGAGGGGCCCCTTGGATTGCTGCAGCAATCTGTACCGAACACCTTCCCTGCCTCCTCCCCCTTGAAATTCTTTGGCTGAGACAGGGTCTTGCCCTGTATTCCAGGGGGGCCTTGAACTCACAGTGATCCTCCTGCTTCAGCCTCCCAAGTGCTAGGGTTACAGATGTGCACACCACACCTGGCTCCCCATTAACATTCTGAGTAAAGTTAGAACAAAGAGGAAGATCACTGTTTTTCACTGGGATACAGTCTGGGGCTCATCTCAGTTTACTTTCAACATAGTAAACGCAAAAATTTTAGAAAAGGGAGACAATTTTAAAATTACAGCTTACAGGTGTCTGAAGGGTTAACAGCCCTCCCCGAATGTACCTCCTCTCCCCTCCATGGGCTGTGAGGCCCTCTGTATCACAGAGTGAACGGCAACCCTAGCATGGTGGCCCAGTAAGTGTGGCAGTGCCCTACGAGCCCAGCACGCTGGAAGGCTGAGACAGGAGTATCACAAGTTTGAGCCCAGTCTGAGTAGCTTAGCAAGAGCTGGTCTCAAAATAAAACGCAACAAAAGCGCTAGAAATGTAGCTCTGCGCAAAGACCCTGGGTTCAATCCCTTGCGCTTAAAAAAAAAAAAAAAAAAGCAGGGACCCAATCACCCCTCAGTGTGACCATTGAGTCACTCGTTTTCAGGCCACCACCTAACTGACTGGCAGCTGGGAACCACGGAGGCCCCCGGGAAGGCTGGACCCACAGGGCTCGCGCGGCGGGGCCGCTCACCTTGCCGTCTTTGCCCTCCTTCATCCTCAGGCTGCCCTCCAGCAGCAGCTGCCGCGTCTCCTCGGGCGAGGCTCCCGGGATGGGCGCCGCGAGGTCCAGGTGCAGGAACTCCTTCAGGAGCTGGGGCGGGGCGCGGGTGCAGGGCCGGTCAGCGCTTGGCTACTCCGGGGCCGGCGGAGAGCCGCGGCCTCGGTCCTCCCACCCACGGACCCCGCGCGCACCTTGTCCGCCTCGTCGTTGCTGCCCTCCACCACCTCGTAGGCGTCGATGCGGCTCACCACGGCCGCCAGCCGCCGCCGCTCCTGCCGCTGCCGCATGCACGTGTTCACTTGGTGGATGAAGCGCTCCACAGAGCCGATCTGCGCGCAGCGACAGCGTTCAGCCCAAGCGCGCAGAGGGGCAGCGAGCCGGGAGAGCCCCGCCCACTGCCCGGTTACCATGGTGACGACGGCCTCCTTAGCTCGCGGCTCGTCGGTCTTCCTCAGCACCGACTTGAGCAGCAGCGGGTATTTGGTGAGGCGCTGGTGGGGCTTGGCCAGCATGTCGCTCAGCTTCAGCCTCTGGCACTGTTGGTGCTTCTCGGCCCACTGCAGCCGGGGGGCGGGGCTCCGTGAGGCCACGCCCACGGCCACGCCCGCCGAATAGGTGCGCCCCGCCCCTGGGACGCGCCCGCCCATCCCCGACCCCTTGCGCGCGCCCCCACCAGTCCTCACCGTGACGTAGGCGCGGAACAGGTCGTTGTCGCGCAGCAAGCCGCGCATGTACTCCATGCAACCCTCCTCCTCCATGCAGTAGCGGATGTAGGGCTTGAAGAGGGAGCCGAACTGGGCCGGGGAGAACCACAGCGCCGGTGACTGCGCGCTCCTGGAGGCCGCGCGTCCCTACCGCGCTTTTTTTTTTTGAGACAGGGTCTCGCTATGCGGTTCAGGTTGGCCTTGAGCTCACTTTGTAGCCCAGGCTGGTCTCGAACTCGCAACGATCCTCCTGCCTCAGCCTCCCGAGTGCTGGGATTACAGGCGTGCGCCACCACGCCCGGCTCCCTACCGCGCTTCCGCGACCTCCCCAAGCGGCAAGCTCACCGCCCCCTGCTCCCAGGAGAGTGACGGCCCAAGCCAGGTGTAAGGGGAGATGAATAATCGGGGATTCAGCCCGGGCGACCAACAGGGGTCCCCGCGGGTCACTGGCCCGGGGGACGGCGTCCGGACCTGGAGCCTTTCTGGCGCCCAGCCCTGCCTCGGTGGTCCTGCCCGTACCGTCTTGAAGCCTTTGAGGAAGTCCCCAGGCTGCAGCAGCGTCCGCGCGCGCCGCGCCTTGTCCAGCACCGGCGCCATCACGCTGCCCCACAGCGCGCGGTGCAGCCGCGCGATCTCGGGGATGTTGCTGAACAGCCGCTCGGCCTCCACCTGCTCGGAGGAGGCGCTGTGGGCGCTGCGCACGCGCCGCACAGTCCCGGCCCCGCCCTTGCCCCCCCCATCCTGGGCCAGGCCCCACCCCTCTCGCCGGACCTCCCCACGCGCCGTCCCAGGGTCAGGACCCGCCGCACCTCGCACAGTAGCCCCGACTCTTGCAAGTTGAGGAGGCAGCAAAGGAATAGCTGTGGGGCGG